AATCAGAATAAAATGGGCTCCATGTTTTACATAAATTATAGCATTCTGTAATAAATTGGGATAAATCTTATTTGCAAATTAGGAGTTTATCATCACTAAGACCAAAAGCAACTTTATTGGATGGGTTAAATCTATTCTAACTAAATGAAGTTCTTTAAATACAATGAATATACCACAGTATAGTAGCACACACCTGTAATTCCAGCATTCTGGGAGACTGAGGCAGGAGGAATCCAGGCTCAAGCCCCACCTGTGCAACTTAGTGACTTAGCAAGACCCTGTCTCAAAGTGGAAAACAAAAAGAACTATAGGTATAGCTCAGGGTTTAATTTCTAATACAAAAAATATATATATTTTATGACATCTCATTACTCATAGTAGTAGCAATAAATTAGATTTTCTGGGTGCTAATTTCATGTATTCAAGTAGTTACCTCACATGTCTTATGTCATTTAATCACACATTCTTCTGTAAGGCAAGTTCTATGGCTGTGCCCTAGTCATAGGTGAGAAAACTGAGGCTCCACACATTTCAGTAACAAGTTGAGTTTCTTATACATTAATTGAAAGAACCATGAGGGTATTAGATCCCAAGATTCTGTCTCAAGGTTCACACAAAATCAGGACTATAAAGGAATCACACCGTTTCAAGGAAAAATCTAAACTATCTATTTTTAAAAAGGGATGTTGTGATCCTTATTTTTAAACTGAGCATAAGCATGCATTCTTACTTTTGTATATCTAATTTTTATTATAAGGAATAAATAAATCAACCCAAGATCCCAAAAGGCTTAACTTTTCATTGATAATGTAGGTGTCAACTGTTTACCTCTGAGATTCTAAAACAGATGTCTTCTTATCCCTCAAATAGTAATATCAGCACTGCTAATTCCCCTTCCCCTGCTGTGTATAAGATTAGCTGGTGCAAGGAGAGTAAAATGTGAAATGGGATAAACTGAGGATGAGATCCAGCTCATCTGAACATCTTAAAACAGGCTTTGAGGCTGGACCCTGAGCGGAGCCACATGGCTTTGGCTTGATTTAAGCAATTGTTATGGTTTGTGTCTGGGTGTCCCCCCCAAAGCCCGTGCGGTCATGGGGCAGGCTTTTAGAATTTGACTGATCATGGGTGTGAGAGCTACACCTACCCTGGGGTGGATAGTTTGTATATGTAAGGGAAAGAAAGAGGCTGCTTGGGGCCATTCCTCCCTTTTAGTGGTTGTTGCTTTTGCTGTGTTCTGCCGCCATGAGCTGTAGCCCTCTGCCATGTGCCAGTCTGCCTTGTAACCTGCCAAGTATGGACTATAACCTCCACAAACTGTAAGTGAAATAAACTTTTCCTTCCTTAATTTTGGGGATCAGGCATTTTGTCCCAGCAACGAGAGAAAAGTAACCAAGACAGTGACAACTCAAAATTATGTGATCTCAGTGTTCTCGAGTACTTTACCCTCTCATCAAGCCACAGTTAAGTAATTCACACCAATAAATTTCCTAAGAAATCTCCATGAGGTAGAGATATCTGGGTGTGATAGTTCGATGAAGTTTCTCATTGTGCCTGCTTCTGTGGCTGATACTTCTTGGTAGAAAAGCTTTGCTCCAGCATAGAACTGCACCTCCCATTGATGACTTGGCTTGTTAAAGCATATAATTTTACTGCAAATGAAATATTATTTATAGTTATTGGATAAACAATAGAACAAGCTCAATCTTATCATGTACTCAATTTCTTTTTAAAAGTTCATGAATTTGTGCTGTGGAAGAAAGGGTACTTATTTGAAATCAGAAGGTCTAGGTTTGTGTTCTGGCTCAATGATTTATGTGACATATAACACTTGGAAAACTTCATGTGGTATTTTCATAATATAATGAGTGAGTCTATACTTTAGTAACCACAGTTTAAGTTGTAATTTTTTAAATATACAGTGTCTGCTAGAGTAGAATGAAGAATATTGTCATATTCTCTGAACTCCAAATGTTTTATGATCATTGTCTTACTATTTCTTGCTTCTAATCACAAAATAGGGGCAGTAATTTTTCTTTTCTTTTTCTTTTTTCTTTTGGTTTTTTGAGACAAGGTCTTACTCTGTAGTTCAGGCTGGCCTTGAACTCACTATGTGGTCCAGGCTGGCTTTGACTTTGCAGTGTACCCCCTGCCTCAGCCAGCCCTAGCGCTGTAATAACAGGTGCACACTACCATGCTAGACTTCATTACTTTAAAATATCATCTATCTTAATATGTCTTTACACTAACATGGTAGTGTGGCTAGTAGCTGAATCTGGAGATCAATCATTTGTGCAGGGCTAATACAAGGCCAGCCCCAAGAACACAGAGCGCCCAAGGTGAGCCATGTGAACAAATTGTTCCAGCTCTGAAAACATGAGGCTCCCAAGGCAAGCCAGGCAAACAAATTGCTAGGCAGAGGAGTTTCAATTAACATTAACCTTCTGAGTGCATAAATAAATGTACTGCAGTGGTTGGGCAGTTCTTTCTCTCCCACCAGGAGAAGAGGTTCCACCTGACCTCAGCTTTCTCCATCTTGACTCTTATTTTTCTTCATCCTCCATTGTCCTCTATCCAGTCACAAGAATTGTGCCAGATGCAGTAACTGGCAACTAAAACAGGGACCCTGACTACAGGGAAACTCATCAAAACAGGTGAGAGGATGCCTCCAAGAGTGCATGCATGAATGAAACAGGCACATAAGAGCAAAAGAGTAAAACAAACTCACAAGAAGCATAGGGGAGAGAAGTGTATTGATATTATCAATATTGATTTCATCAGGTGTAAAATATGGGGCATATAGGTTCTCAAGAACAATAGAGGTATATGCAAATGCTTGTTACAGTATTGATTCCTATATTTACCTTTTTGTTGTGGACCTGGATAAGGGAGTGTCTCCATGATCTATGCCTGTTGAGATGACCACAGAGGATTTGCCTCAGACTACTATCTTAAAACTAAACTCAAAGCAGAAAAAGGATAGTGGAGCAACAGATCCCCAGATAGAGCTTGAATCCTTTAACTTTGCTCAATCAGATAAAAAGGAGCTGTTGGGGGGGGGGCAAAGAAGACCCTTCTCTACTACAGGAGTTTCTTTCTGACTTCCATTTCACAATTACCCAGTGTAAAAATCAATAACCTTAATTGCACAAGTGGCTACTTCCACTTTCTCAGTTCAGAAAAATTTTTCTGCATCACAGGTTAAGACTTCCACTCTTCATAGAATAGAGTCATCCCTTCTTTCTCCCTAGCAGTTGGCAATAAAAGAAGCCAAGGGGGCAGGAGAATTCCTAGAGGGTTTTCAATGTGTTTACCCTGTTGTTGAACTCCAAGACCCCAATAATCTGGAACAGGTTATACATCTTCATGAAGCTGTACCCTTTAAGACTTTAAAAGAACTAAAACAAGCAACAGCTACCTATGGCCCCACAGCCCCTTTTACTTTGGATTTTATAGAGCTCATAGGATAATAGGTTATGGTTCCAAATGATTGGGAAGGAATAGCTAAAGCATGTTTAAGTCCAGAGAATTATTTATTATGGAGGGGAAATTTTTTCAAATTGTGCATAGATCAAGCCACTCCCAATGCTGTTCACAATACGGCTACTATAAAAGACATGTTAACTGGAAAAGGTGCCTTTGCTGTGACAAATAATCAACTTACTTTTGAACTGCAAACATATGAACAAATTAAATTAGCTGCCACAAGGGCTTGGAGGGAACTTCCCTCAAAGTGTGACACATCCCTTGATTTGACCTCCATTCTGTTGGGTCCTGATAAAACTTTTCAGAATTTTGTGGCACACTCACTGCAGGTAGTGGGAGGATTATCAATACCACAGAGGCTGTCAAGTTAATCATTCAACAATTGGTCTTTGAAAATGCAAATAAAAGGTGTAAAGGGGCTACCTTTGGCTGCCTGTGGGCACTTAAAACTGACAATGGCCCCGCTAATATGAGTGCCCGCCTCCAAATAGTTTGTAAAATCTTTAACATTTCCCTTACCATGGGAATTCCTTGTAACCTTCAAGGTCAAGGCATTGTTACATGTGCTCACCATATGCTCAAAATTCAATTACAAAGACGAAAAGGGGAATCCTTCCCTACAAAATTCACACTTCATAATAGACTTCACTTGGCAGTATATACTATTATCTTTTTAAATTCTACTAGAGATAGGACTACAGCAGCAGAAAGACAATTCAATCAGGTAAAGGAAAAGAAGCAAGAATGGGTCCTTTGGAAAGATTTTCACACTAGACAATGGAAGTGACACAGCCCAGTACTTGAGAGTATGCTTGTGTTTTTCCTGAGAAAGCTGAATGGCTTACCTGGATGCCATAGCATGCTGTCTGGCTGTGTTATGGACCTAGATCTGGAGAAGGAATTTGTTCCACGCTTGAAGAAACTGATGGTCAATCCTGTAGCAGTGATGCCTTGGAGACCACACCAGAGCTGATAGACAAGGATAGGGCTAGACCTGACCTGGGGCCAATTAAAGAAATTGGCCTAGGATGCCCAGGAGATGGTAACCAAAAATGGGAATTGAAGGTCTGAGTAGGTGATGGAGTGTGTGGAGACACCTGAGATTAAAAAAAAGAACACAAAAGTCACCAGTATTCTTAAAACAGAATAAAATTTTAAAAATATGATTTAGGGTTAAAAAAGTTTTATTCCTTTCAAATTCTTCTTACAAGAGATCTCTGCTAATTGACCTAAAAGTAATTCTGACTAGGCTATAACTGCAAACTTATAAAATTATAAGTAGTTATTATAATTCAATTTGATCAAAAAATATATCTGAGTACACTCTAATTTTATAAACAGATTTGTCTTACACATATTTTTTGTTTGTGTATCCAATCTGTAAAGAGTTGTTTTATCTGAGCTCAACAAATTTTGCTTCTTTTTACATTTTTTGATTTTTTGAAGCATTTATCTGATATGCTTCCACCAAAATTGCTCACTGGTCAAAATGATGTTAAAATTAGTTTTATAAATGTAGTGCACATTGTTGCTTATGTATTATGACATAAGAGTTTCTTTTTTTTTTTTTTTTTTTTTTTTTTTTTTTTTTTTTTATTGCCCAAAAATAATGTGTTAAGTGATATTATCTGGTTTTCATAAGTCATCAAAAATGGTTTTAGATAATTAAACAGAAAATCCCTTAGGCTTGGGGTAAACTGTTGGACAGAACTCCAATGGATGAATAAGAAAGCAGATGCCTGGAATAATAATTTTCTAGTTCTTCTTCATTAATGGGGGGCCCCAGTGATCTCCATAGCCCTATGGAAGACAACCTAATAAATGTTACTAAAAGTATTTTATTATGATATATTCACACTGGTCATCATCAAAAGACTGTTTTATAATAAGGAAACAATAAGGCTTTCTGATTTAAAGATGTTATGCATAAAACTAAATGAAAAATCAAAAGTTTTCATATGCTGTGACAATTGGTTGTTATCAATCTCATGGTGTATTACATGTACTCATGTCATCATATGAACAGATCTTCCAAAATGTAAAACAGTGAATATTTATGGTGATAGACTTTTCTTTCAGATGCAGACATCTGTAACAAAAACTTAAGTGATATATATGCTATGCATGTGCCTCTACACTTAGAGAAGCTTAGACATTAAAGAGTCCAGATAATGCCACAAATTTCTTCAATAGCATCCCATTAAAGGTCAACAAGCTAGGTAAAAGTGTCTTGGGTCCTAGATAAAGATGACTGATTAAAATGGCTATTTTATGTTAAAATGAAAATTTAGATGTGTTACAAAAATGTCATCATGATTATCATACTACAATGTTATATATGGCTTTTTATTTCAAATTTTCTGTAAAAAAATTAACATTCTACAGGGATTCATCAACTAGAACATCCATGGTTGGTAGTAAATAATGATTCTACATTGTATTTCAATGTGCTTGATATTCAGATAAAATTATATTAAGCTGATTGCCCCCATTGCAATGTAATATCATTAACCTTTTCTTCTGGATGTTCAACAACTGAGGTTTGGAGACCAAAAACTAGAAAGATAGCTGGGCCAAGAGGACAGCCAACATTTTGGCTCCAGGCCTCTGAGGTCAATGAGGACCCAGGACATAAGAGAAGCTCTGCTGCAACATCCTACAACTTGGTGAGTCCCTGATCTTCTAACCAAGGAGACTGTTAGATGACAGAGGAAGGAGATCAATGGTGCATAGTGTGCCTAAGGAGAGTCACTAGGAGACAAAAGTCTTCCAAGGTTTCACAGAAAGCAACTTGGTCAAACAATGGCCATAACTCATCCAGACAACTGTCACTGACTGGAAAACTAGAGGTGCTGTACATGGTTCCAAGGTAAATCCTGAGAAGACTTAACTGACCTTGATAGTTAGCAAAAATTGATTAATACAGGTCTCACCTGAACGTGGTCTTGAACATACAGCAGAAAAGTATAAGCATAAGATATATAAAACAATGCCATAGTAATATTTAACTATAAAAGAAACTCAAATCACTAACACCTTCTGACAATTGTCAGCTACCCTGGTAACTGACTACTGTTATGGGTTAATAGGCTATACAGGGTTAAATTGCTAGATGCAGGGACCTGAAATCCTTGGACTGGGAATCTTTAGCCTAAATGAGTAAGTTCATTAAGAATGAAAAGGATTCAAGAATGAGAAGGTCCTTTGCAGAGCCCTCCAATCACAGCTCCTCCAACTTCAACTGACCATCCATCACTTGCAACTACAAAACAGAAAAGGGGGAGATATGGGGAGCAGCTGAAGATTGAGACCAATCACACACATAGGCTAAAGCAAGGCCAGCCACAAGAACATAGAGCACCCAAGGCGAGCCATGTGATCCAGTTGTTCCAGCTCTGAGGACTCAAGGCGCCCAAGGTGAGCCAAGCAAGGCAGAAGGGTTTCAATTAACATCAGTCTCCCAAGTGTATAAACAAATGTGCTGCAGTGGTTTCTTCTCTCCCACCAAAAGAGAAGCCTCCACCTGACCTCAGCTTTCTGCATTTTGACACTTGTTTTTCTTCATCTTCCACCATCCCTCATCCAGAGTTTCAAGAGCTGTGCTGGATGTGGAATGGTAGAAATGTACTTGAACTTTTATCTTCTGAAAATAAAATAATAAAACAGAGAAATAATATTTATTGATCAGATTTTCCATTCTAGGTAGTATACTAGGCACATTCACACATGCTTTGTCATTTTATTTTTTAAAATATGTATAAAGTATTGCTTTAAGACATTTATTTGTAGAAAAACATGAATTATATCTTCCGAATGGTGAGCGAGTATGGATTTCTGTGTATTTTATTTTCATTAGAGATATTCAAGAGGAAAGCATACAAAGTAGAGGAAAGGAAAGAATTTCGGGTTCAAAATCATTGGCCAGCTACATGCATTTGTCTTTTCTCCTGCCAGGATTCCCTGAAAGTATAGGAAAATAAACCCACAATAGTGAAGAAAATTAGAAGGGATCACTGATTGATTCATGATTTCAATAAATGTCAAGAAAACAAAAATGAGATGGAATGAAGATAAATAATTTGTGGACTAGAATAATTACAAGAGGAAATTACATTTCAGATTAAAGCCAATAGAAGGTAAGTGAAATAATGAGACTGGAAGTCGAAATTAAATGAGTTACTCGAAAATCTGTCTACAGAACAACCAGATGAAGGAACAAGCACAGCGTCCTGGAAGCAGTAGGCAACACACTGGCCTCATAGGAAAAAGGACATGTCCCTTCTCTAAAAATAAACAAATGAATAAATTTTGTAGGGAGAACTAGTCATTAACATTGTGATCCTAGAACTCTATTTATTTTAGCAGCTAGAAGACTCCATAGGCCTCATGTGCTCACACCCATCAGTGTCTCTAAGGTGCAGGTGTGCAGCTGCTTGTCATTCTTTCTGCTTAGGGGATATGTATGCAACAGAGGAAAGCTTTGTCTTTCTGACAACTGTTTTTACTTCCTTTGGGTACATACTGAGTAGTGGGAATGATATATCATATAATAGTACTATTTTTAAGTTTTTGTATATGTAATAACTGATTATAACTTAGAAGTCATTAACAAAGTCCATCATCCTGTAGGTGATTGGAGCATATGGAGAAGGGGAAGGTTAGAAGTATATTTTCATCCACTACAGATTTCATGGGATGCAGGAAGACCATCCATCGGGAGTATGGACCTTAGGGTCAACAGCTAGCAATGTAACAATCATTATTAAGTGAAAATGGAGCTCAGGGCAATGGACCTTTTGTAGCTGAAAAAATATTTAAACCCAGAATTTTCAAGTTAAGTCATTTTACAGAGAAAAAGCCTGGAGTGTCCCATGAAGGGCTCCTTTCTGCCTTACTGGGTAGAGGAAGAGTTCCAGCCTACTTGGTTTTCATTAGGACTTGATCCTCCAACCACTGCAGATTCTTAAAAAACACATTCACAACCTTAACATGTAGAACAGAGTTCCTGTCTAAAACATCTGTTGGGAGGGGGGTGTGAATGGGCTCAGAAGTATGAGCTTTTCTCATTTCTTTCATTAATGTTACCTGAAGAAAGTATAAAATGTTCAAGTTCATATCCAGCTCTCTCCTTTAGTACATAACAATGCTGGATTTCACATGATATTCACACTGATATTTAGGATGATGCAAAGAACACTGTCTGGGCAAATTAATCTCTGCATGTTTTTCCCAACTGAAAGACAATATTAGACAATTTTGATAAAAGAAAATGAAATTATACTTCCTTTCCTCATCTTAAAAATTTAAGAAGTATGATGAAGCCTCCCACTGATAACCTCAAATTTCCATTTCTGTTCAGTTTATCAAATCCCATGCCCCATTTTTATAAGAAAACATGTTAGAAGAGCAAGTGGAAAAGTGGACTGCGATGCAAAGAAAATCTGCATTAGAATTGTGAGAATTTTATAGACTGAGGGTCGTTCAGAATGAGGGGGACGGGCTGCCGGGCTCTGGTGTCTCACCCTCACAGAGGCCAGAGGAACGTTTATTTAAACTGACTTCTGATGTTCAGTGAAACTAAACCTAAATCAGAACCAGATATAACTTTTTTTGAAATTACTTTCCCCATTATTGACTCTTTTCTCCCCACTACCTGCTCAAGGGCTAAAAGAGACTGAACATTAATACTGAGATACTATATTGACAACAGTGTTTCTCAAAGTGTTAACCTCATATGTTCAGCATCAAAAACTTCTAGTATTGGGGGCTGGGGATTTAGCTCAGCGGCAAAAGCGCCTGCCTGGCAAGCGCAAGGTCGTGAGTTCAGTTCCCAGTACCGGAGAAAAACCCAAAAAAAAAAAAAAAAAAAAAAACTTCTAGTATGCTTAATTGTTTCAGCCAAAAGTTGGAAAAATATAGTTCTTCTCTACCACATTTATATTTGTTGAGTTTTGAAAAAGTTTTGAAAAATTGCAAAATATTTCAGACTTTCAGAAATTAATAATGCATACCTTTATGATAATTTCCAATGTAAATAAATGTTAGAATTATGCTAACTAATCTTCAGAATTTTTTTTTCTTTTTAAAGAATCAAATAATCTGGGTATGGTGGCACAGGCTGAGGCAGGATGATCACAAATTCTAGCCCATGCTAGGCAAATTAGTGATTGAACAAGACCCTGTGTCAAGAAAAACAAAACAAAGCATTAAAGGATTAGGGATGTTGCTCAATGCAAGACCTGGATTCAATCCTCAGTTCTGTAAATAAATAAATAAATAAATAAAAATAGGAATGAAATATAGTAGCTGTACAAATGCAGTTAGGAATTCTCTCTACCCCCACTGCTCTCCTGCCTTTCTTAGAAAATACACACCAATCTGAGGTATGTATCCCTGTTCTCATCATTTTTGTGTTTTTGGTATATAAGCACTTTTCAACAAACAAGAATTAACAAATTAACTTTTTAAATGTACAAAGTTGGTATTCTACAAATTAGTCAACAATGTTATTACATGTACTAGTGAACACAACAGGGGAAAGTATGGGAACACACACAGCTCATTCAGTTTAACTACAATAGAGTATTCTGTTGCACAGCATTATCACCTTTATCTTTCCCTGTGGATACATTTTCGGGTGATTTACAAGTTTTTACTGTTAGTAACAGTTACTAACACTCTCAAAAGCCTTTGGTGTCCATGTGTGAGAGCTGTTCTAGGTTACAGATCTGAAAGTAACTGTACACTATGCAGTTAACTTTGCTACACTCTACAAAGCTGCTTTTCAATATGGATGCACTAATTTATCTACCAGTACTGTGAGAACTGCAATTCCCCCGTATTATTGCTGCAACTTGTGATTCTTTTTAATTTTTGCTAGTCCATTTTTATGGGCATTTCATTCTTAATAATAAATAGATTTTTATATAGCACCAAAATTGTTCCAGGCACAGTTCCATGTACATTATATATAACAATTCCACTCACAGCACCTCTTCGAGAAATTACGTTTTTAATCTCTATTTTATAGATTAAAAAACCTGAGTCACAGAGAGGTTGCATAATGTGCTCAAGGTCACAAAGCTAACATATTGCAAGGCTGGATATTTGAACCCAAGAAAACTAGCACTAGACTTTTTCTTAGCCTCTGCATCACCACACAATTGCCAGGGCTTTCAAAGCCCGTCCCTCAATGAGTAGGCTCTGTATATTCATCTGCTAATTCTGCGAGATGCAGGGGTATCAGCTCCAATTTTTAGTGGCTTTGGGTTCCCTATTTGTTCCTGGTGCCTGGCAATTTCAGCATTTTAAATCACAAGAATGTATGAATTTTTAATTGTTTTATTTTATCCATAAATTCAGTTAGTTTGCAGCGGAAGTGCTGATCGATATGCGACTATATTCCTGATTAAGTTCAGTCCAAAATTCTGAAGGAAGAAAAGACATGAAGTTTGATTCTTCTTCTTCCTCTTACCTTTTATTTAAATAGAAGACCCTTTGTGGATACAGTGAGATATGGTTGTCTCCAGTATCCAGGGAAAGAGAGAGCACCCTAAACCCATCTTACTTAAGAAAATTTTTCAAGAAATGACAATGAATGAGAAACAGTAGTAGTTCAGGTTATGAGCAAATGCTAGATGCTATCCCAAGTGTGGGACTAATGAATTAGTCCCAAGTGTGGAGTAACGTTGCTGTGTCTAGCAGCAACATTAGGGTGGGCTATAAATTTGCTTGTCCGTCTTTGGTTTTTCCCCAAAGAGCAAGCTGTTTTCTGGAAAGATTTCACAATGCAAAGATGTTGTCTTTGTTACAAACACATTTTGTCTATTTAAGTAATCTACATGTGTTACAATCAAACAAAATTTAAAATTGAGATCCATGGTCACATTATCCACATTTCAAACATTCAGTAGCCTCATTTGGCTACTGGTTGCCACATATGACAGCACAGATAAAATATTTATTTTATCACAGAAACTTCCATTGGAATCTCAGGCTTGTCACCTAATTTCAGGGCCACGGATTAATGTACCTGAGATTTTATTTTAAGGAAAACCAGTTCCTGCACTTGCTTTACAGAGGTTTTAGCCATCCTATGAAAGCGGTACAAAAGCTTTTCCAGTTAAAACATGAGTCACTATGTCTTGTTATTGTCTCAATCATCAGCAATTTGGGACTGTTTTCATTTCACTTGACATCATCTGCAGAGCCTAAACTGGTGTTGCTTGTCTACCAGACACAAAATCCTGGTTTATTTAAGTCTATGATTACTTAATAACTATTTATAACCCCTTGCTAGATCTTTTAGAGATCTCTGGATCATTTGTTCTCAGTAAAATTATATTTAAGCCATGTTCTTAGGAAAATTTGATTTGGGAGGCTATTCTTACTTTCCAATACCTGCTATTCTGTGATTCTTTACCTGTTCAAGAGAACTGACAATAAGATAGAAAAAATGGTTTTTAAAAATCTATAATTTTATGAGTGCATTAGCAAGAAAGTCTTATTTTAGATAACAGTAATAACACGTTGCATTTTCTATCTCAAATTATTTCCCTAAAGCTCTTTTGTGGGAAACAGACAAAAAAAAACTTTAATTAATGGTGCAAACTGCTCCATCCCTGGGAAACAAGACATGAAATGGTTGACATGGTCAAAAATTGTCCCAGGGGACCAGGAATTAGAACCTGGTCAAAGAAGCAAATAGAAAAAATTGTTAAGCTCTTAAAAGAACCCGACAAGGGAAGCTTAAATCTTATTTTAAAGGATTAGGCTATACTAAGCCTTGAAAAACTCAATCCTCTGGAGGCCTATATCTCATTGAGAAAGTTCCATGTAAGTTTATCATGTAGCCAACACCTAGACATTGGGCCTTGGAGACCACTTGGATAATATTTCCTGTGGATTAGCACTGAAGCCTGGAAGTGATATTTGTACAGGCATATTTTAAACTGTAGGGCTTTTCCAATTATAAAGTGATAATTCTAAAGGAAAATAAATGTTTACTGCAGAGGAAGTTGCTATGATTTATATGTCTTGGATGATCTTTCTTTTTCACACAGAGTAACTTATTAGACAAAGTATGTGGGTATTTCCTTTTATAGAACTGCAGCTGTCCTTCAGTTGATAAGAAAGGTAGAGCGTATTTGTTCTAGGGTATTTTAATTTTTCCTGTTCCACCATGTTGAAATGAATATTAGTCCTTGTTACTGGTGACATCAACAGTGAAACATGCAGCACAGACACAGTACAGTACTAGGAAACGCCCACCTCAGGCTAAAGTAACCTTGGAAATTTTCCCAACTAGTCCTCTGCAGATTCAGTGGGCAGATTTCAAGCTCTGACAAAGGCGAGACAGTAACAAAGTGAGGCCGAAAAGCTTCCCCTCACTTTCTCTTGGTGTGCCCTTCAAGATTTCTGTGATCACTGTAAAATCTCCTGTGATTCTAGTTATAAAGTATACTTCAGATGAATTAAATATGTAGTGATGGCCAAAGTTATAAACCACTTGACTCACTGGGATCATTTTCCAGGCCAATGTTAGTAGGATTTCAGCCAGCATGTGTGTTTTGTGCAGTTGTGAACATTGGTTGGTTTGGGAGACATAATTTAAAGTAGTGCATCTCTATGTTTGCATTGTGTGCACACATTCAAATTCTGGAGGAAAAACATGACAGACGTGCATATGAAGCCTACTAACGTTTATCCACTTCTTATCTGTAGGCTGGATTCCTAATTGACTCATCTCTTAAAAATCTGTGAAATCTTCCAGCAGCAGGTCTAGATTGTGGATGAATCGCAGAAAATCCATCACCTTTTCTGGGAAAACAGCCCCTAGACTTAATGACCAGGTCAGTGCAAAGATTGTTACAAGGAGAATGCATCCCTCTCAAAATTAAAGTGAATCTGGAAACCAAATGTCATAAGCCAAGCATCAGACAACAATAATTCTTTTTACACTTCCTCAGGTTCTATAGGATACAGGTTCGAAATCTGTTGGAAAAACTGCTGCTTCATTCAGTTTATCTATCCACTGAGTTCACACTTTGCTCTTCCTTTACAGCATTGCTCACACACTGTCCCATCTTCACTTCCTACACTTTCTTTTTGACCTGGGTCCTGAAAGTTTTTGAAATGCTTGAGCAATATGAAAGCTCTTCCTGCACTCATAGCAGTTATATAAATTTTTCAAAAACTCAGAGCATACACTTTTAGAGAATAAAGAAAATTGGTGGTTCTATAAGGTAGGCAACTCGGAAACCACATTTAAAATCAACATTTACCAAAGCTGTACCAGAATAATATACAGATAATATTTTAATATCCTGATTAAAATCAAAATTCCAGATATGGAGAGCTATGTGAGAATAAGAGGAAAACCTACAGAAAAGTAAATATGTAGGTCAGCTAGGACTTTACAGGATTTAGTTCATATCACCTGAAAGAGAAAAAAACAAACCATAATTCTTAGAACCCCAACAAACATGTAATGTTGGGGCTCAGATTAGAGGTAGTATATTTAAAAAGTTGTTGACTAGATAGGCTATTTTCCATCAATGTATTAATTAAACAATAGTTTTCTGATTACCTATGGTGATTCACACATTGTACTTGGCAACAGGGATCAAACTGAAAACAAAATTAGTCTCAGTCCCTTACCCTCATAAAGTCTAATGACAGTAATAAAAATAGCCAGTAATGCATACCTCTGCATGTATGTGTCTCTATGATGAGCATTAAGAAGGAGATATTTCTAGAAGATCTGAGTAAAAGTGGGTAGAATCTACTCGAAAAACTTCCCTGAGAAATTGATCCCTGGCTTGAAATATGAGGAATAAGGTATAGTTAACTAGAATCTTAATTGGAGAAAACGAAGGAAGGCTGCTCCTTATCAAAATAAATTTGGCAGTGCTGCTGGTTTTTTAAAGGTAATTTACTGACTTAATGGCTGGTAAGATTAGTGCTATGGCTTGTGTCTAGATGTCCCCCCAAAGCCTCATGCTCTCATAGATGAGGCTTTCCATAGATGCCTGGATTTAAAGTGTGTGACTCTGGGGTTAAAGGTATGTGATTACTAGTTAATGATTACTTGTTTGATCAATCTTGTATGTCTCTATTTGTTTTCCTGAGAAACCACTTTGAAGATATCAATAAGTAATACAACAACCATTGTTAATTTCCTACAACTTTGTCTGTAACTGTTTTGTTTGTATTGTTCTTATGCTAGTTTGTAAATGAATGTCTGTTTGTTAATATGTTTTCCTTCTTTTATTTTTTAAAATATATTTTTTTTAAAAACGAGATGAGGGAGGTTGGGGGCCCACAACCACTTCCTGGAAGATCTTCGAGCCATGTTCCCTTGGGTCTGTACAAACGAAAGGAACCTCAAGGTTCCCTTAAAGCACCTCAAGGCAGATTAATAGCCCTTAAGTATGCACACACGCATTCTGGGGATCGGTGAACATGCTCCTCACATGGCAAGGAGAGCAGTGGAAAAAAAAATTTAAAAAGTATAAAGATATGTGATTACTAAATTAGTTCACTGATTGGTTTGGCATCATTCTGGATATGGATAATGTGATGGCCCCCCCGGTGTGAGTGCTACCCACCCTAAAAGTGTGTAACCTGGATAGAATATAAGGGACAGAAAGAGGGCTGCTGTCAATTGCAGCTACTACTTTGTTACTTTACTGCCTTGTGCCTGCCATTAATTATTTCTCCTCTGTGATGCCCCTTGCCATGCCACTCTGCCTTGGAGTTAGCCAGCTATGAACTGAAACTTCTAGGAACTGTGAGCTACAATAAATCTTTTCTCCTTTTAACTTTGAGGGTTCAGTATTTTGTCTCACCATCAAGAAAAGTAACTAAGACAACTAGCATGAAAAAACATTAAGGGAAGCAATATGAATGGGGCAGTGCCTTTTAAAATGCTAGCTCCCCAGTAAAACCTTGCTCAAGCCTCTTGCCTGGCTTTCTTTCCAGGGACCAACCCTATGACCCCACTCTGTTAGAATGTGGCTTTCTTCCTACAGTTAATTAAGCATAAAAAGTAGAGAAAACACTCCAAAAAGAGGAAACAGTTCATGCAAAGACAGTATGGCTTAGGAAAAAGCAATCCATGCTGAGCTTTTTACGACATATGAAAGAATTCTGACTTAATTCTAAAAACAAACCAAGCCACGTGGGGTGTCTTAAGCAGAGAGGAGGAGGGGTAGAAATGGGGCTGACATCATCAGGTTTATATTTTGGAAAGATTATCCTATCTACAATGTGGAAAACAGATGGAGGCCATAAAACAATGAAATGTTTGAATGCATAAGTAACTTTTGCACTAAAAATATTACTAAAACAGAGGGTCTCTGTCACATTACAGTATATAAGAAGGACATGACAACCACTTCTCAATTCAAATGTATGCTTACTCCTTAATGCCACTCTCCTTTATAGCAATATATGGAAAGAGGCAGAAATATTTTATCTCATTCCTTCTTTTCTGTTTGGTACCCGAAAGGATCCTAATTGTGCTTCTTTTAAAAAAAGGTGACAATTTTTAATTAAGTTTATTTAATTTTTTAAAAATATCTACAGCAACCAAACATGAGTGTCAATGAGAAAACATAGATGCAGTCCCAAATATTCCAGATATGAATGCAAAGTAGCATGTCCTCATGGTGCCAGGTCTCCGGGTATGGTCATATACATGTGAACTCAGAGAGCACAGGAAGGTGAGGGTAGGTGTGGGACTGCTCATAGTCGTGTGTGTTTGTGAACCTCTGTGTGCTGTGAAAGGTCTTCTGCTCCAGCTCCTAGCAACCAAGAGAAGAAATCTTTCACATGGAGCAAGATACACTCTACCATTTCCAAGAGCCTCTGTTCATGCATGCACAGACGTTCAACACAAAGCAGTGAGGCAGAACAGTGGGAATTATTCTCCTGTGGGAAATCCCGCAGGAGTGGGAATTGTTTCAAGAACAACTGCCCATTTATTCACCAAGTGCCCACAGAGCAGGAGGGTAAATAAAACTCAGTACCTTTTCAATGCATAGGCAAATAATTATTATCTATTCTGTGTAGAGGAGTGAAGGATAATTTTATGTAAACCACAATAAGTAAACGCAAGTAATATGAACTAAGCTTTCATAGTAAGAGCAGGAAGCTCAAGAAGGAAAATATAAGGAAATGGTATTTTCTGTATGGAATATCACCAACCTGGAAAATCCTTTATAGAGATAAGACCAGGAGCAGGATTTTATAAAGGGACCAGCTTGAGACAGAATCTCTTAGGTCTTCTGTAGTGACTTCATTCTTCAGCAAAATTCTGCTCCCTGAGATATAATTTTTCTGTAGAAAAATATGGAAAATTAGTAAATTGCAGTTTGTTCATTACAGAACATACAGTATAAATGCCTTTGGATTCTGAGTAGTGTAAGGAATTTTTTAATGAATTAATGTCAAAGTATTACCAGGAGTCACCCTAACTAATGGAGCTTGGGGTTTTATAAAGAGATATCAAAAAGATGAGTAGCTAATTAAAGATCCTTCAAAAACAAGGAATTTGACTTTGGGCAAGTTAAAAATATCTTTAAATTTTAAATTTAGAAGTCAACTCAAGTTTTTTTAGGTTCAAATTTCATTTACTTTATATCAAATGTGGTTTCCTGGGTAATGGTGGAAATGAAAAAGAAAGCATTTAAAGGATTGTGTAAAATGTCTATAAATATATTCATTAAAATAAATGCATCAATGCACTTCTAGCAAGCTAGATTTCAACAAGGCAGGTATCAAAGAACACGACATTAGTAGCTCTCACCTCAAAAAGTTAAGAGTTTAAAAACAGAAAATATTGTTAGAGCAAGATGTGTGCAAGTTTAAGTGAAAATAATTTTGTTTAAATACTTTTGTGGAATGAAAAGCTTCAATGATTTCACACTTTGGGGTAGAAGAATAGCATTAATGAATTTGCAGAGCCTTTGAAGTAGTATATTACTGGTTTAACTACGAGGTCTGGGAATAGAGATGAATTAAAAGCAATGAAAGACGGGAAGAAGGACGAGAAGAGGAGAGAAAGGAGATGAGAAAAGAAAAAACATTCATATTTTCTCTGTATCAGGCAAGAATCAAGGTGATTTTAGATACAATTGCCTTTTGCCTCTAGCTGTGCGACAGTGGAAAAATAACTTGAACTTCCTAGGGATCCCTTAACTATTAAAAGAATGCAAAAACAAGAACAAGAAAAGAGCCCCGCGCCTTGCGCCCAGGCAGCGAGTTCTCCCGGAGCTGCAGCGCTCCTGGGTCCGAGTGTGGGCTGGACTCATACCACCGCGATTCCCAGCCGAAAAGCGCACACAGAGCCAGGTAGGCC